AGGGAGGGCCTTAGGTTTTATTTTAATTATAATTGGAATCCATTTAAGTATTTTAATAAGGAGAAACATAATCCTGTAAGATCACCTTCGCTGGTATGTAGATGATGTATTGTAGAGAGGTGTTTGGGGTAACTCAGGTGAGAAATACTTAATTTTGTAGGGAGTTAAAACAGTATAGATGGTATGATTTAGGGTGTATTTTGGAGGTGGAGTCTTCACTCCCCAAATTGGGCTGGATGTGGTGAATTAGAGGATGTGGTGAATTAATGTACAGTTATGTATTTTCAACATTAACATAAAACCTTTTTTTAAAATTTTTCACTTTTTTTAGTCCTAATCTCATTAGATAAAAGGGTTTTTGCTATACTAACATGGGACAGTCGTGTGTATGTGTAAAGTAGGGAAAATAATGTATAGAACAGCATGGTTAGGTTGTCCCTGGTGGCCTAGAGTTAGGTCTCAGCACTGCCACCCCTGCAACCTGAGTTCTATCCCAGCCAGAAAGCTGGCTCAAGTGTAGTCCAGCAGACCTCTCCCATCTCACCCGCTGCTCCCCTCAGCAGTGTAGTTCAGCTGCTCCCTACTTTGTCTCTGGTGAATCCTCTCACTACCCCATACCTCTGGCCTACATCCTAATTCTTCTATGCAAAAATTAAAAAGAAAAAAAAGAATAGCATGTGCAGTATGTTATCATTTGAGTAAAAGGGAGAACTGTATCACTATATACATATAAATATATATTAGTATGTATATTATAATTTTTATATTACTATATTGTATATTGATATAATACATTATAATAATGTGATATTGTAATGTGAATTATAATATTAATATGTGTCTTTTTACAGAGTCTTATGCTTAACTAAATAAGTAATTTAACTTTTTTTTTTTTTTTGGTGATTCAGGTTATTGAAGTGAGCTCAGGGTACTTTTTGCAATTTCTTCTTCAGCAAATAAATATTTGTCTTCTCACCATATGTATTTTTCAAATTAAGTTGATTCTAAATAAAATCCAGTTATCTGACATATATTTAATTTTAAATTTTTAATCATATGATGTCTTTATACTGTTTTTTATCTTTGGCAGGAATTAAAAGGTGGAAAAGCTTATGCCAAGGTAAGTAGATTTTTAGCTCTTTGGAAACTTGTAGTACCACTCATTGCTATGTATCAGCTTAAAAAGTAAATGGTTTGCTTTTCTAGTTGCTGTTTAAGCTTGGCTGTTTTTAAATAAAGCAACATGGAAGTTGAAGAGTTGGATCCAACCATATAATACAGGCAAACTCTTTTCTCATTACTGATTATGGGATGTTATTCTTAAGTTTTAGCTTCCCTACTCAAAGATGACCATAGAAACTGCTAGCTCAGACAGCCCTCCGGAAAATGTTTGCACCCCACTTCCCCATGGGATGGGACTGGTGCTCTCTTTGCATCTGTGTGTGCATCGTCTCTGCTGCCGGCACATGTAGACTGGACGTAGCAGTGCAGCCGAGGTGAAGCTCGATAATGAATGTGTTCACCTGTTTGCTGGGTAGAGGCATTCACAGTATCACCAAGACACTTACTTCCAGACTCTGGATGATGGCAGGGCTCTGTCGTGTACTCATCTGAGCCACAGACTAGCTCCAGCAATCAAATCTGTCTCATTCCCTAAAACTACTTGTTTGCGTGTCTCTAGAATACTCTTTGCTCCAAGTGACAGCATATCCTCCTCACCTAGAGAAGTTTTTTTCATCTTACAAAACAAGTGGATGGAGCCAGATCTGCTCCGGGGTGGGCGAATCGGTGGGCGAATCCGCTGACTAGAGGGCGTGGTCAGTGAGCCAGGCTTCTGTTCTCTCCACTCTTCTGTGCTCTGCTTGGTGGCTCTGCCCGGGCTCACTCCCTAATGGCTAATAGAGGTCTGGCTGCTGGAGCTTGGTCTCCACATTCACATGTGGCAAAATCCAGCTCCCTCTCCATTATGATATTTTTTGAGGGAGAAGACTTCCTAGATTTTGTACTCGACCTCTGTTGTCACCCCCGGCTTCAGATCGCTTATCGTCGGCATGATCATTCTAAAATTCAAACATGGTCTTAATCTCCCACTTCTAGTCTGTTACCTATTAAAAAAAAAAAAAAAAAGCTAAAAAAGCGAAGGTAAGTGTTCAAATCCAGCATATAAGACCTACCTTGGTTTGCACATTCTCTCATATACTTCTCTCTCTGCTCCCACCACCCCCTCTTTCTCTAATCCCTGGACCACAGACACACTGCCCTCAGCCACTTCCTGGAGTGTCCCAGGCTATTTTAGCTTCCCTGCCTTGTGACTTGATGTTTTCTTGCCATGCGTGTGCTTTTCCCTCCTAGTCCTGTCAACTCCCATATCATTAAAGACTCAGCTTAGTCATCCCTCACCAATGAGAAATCTTCCTTCCCTCTTTCTTGTAATTATGCCTTCTTTACAATAGCACAGAGCATTCTTTCCTATGGGAATTTGTTTCCTGTCTTCCCTTGTAAACTATGAGTTGCTGAGAGTAAAAATGATTTACATTCCCAGTGCCTAATAACACTACCTGAAGTGAAGATGTTCACAGTATTTTTTGCCGAAAGAAATAATATCTAGCATAGAGATCCATAGCATTGATGTATATGTGGCATTTTGATGAGAAGGTGGTTTCAGTAAATCCAAAGAGAAAATCCTAAGGACAGGTGGACTCTCTGGGACCTTGCTAGCATATAAGCTCTTTGAAGACCATCTTACCTGTTCTGAATGTTCATCACTGTTTTACAGTGTCAAGAACAGAGCTGGGCACATAAATGGTGCTCAGTAAGTTGACCTCATGCATTC